AAAAAATTAAAAGCAAAATACATGTTATCCCCATTCCTTACATAAGGAAAAAAATACCCTCAGACGTATTTGGGTGGGTCTGTTTCTAGGTTTTCTACATTGTTCCATTGATTTATTGTGTATCTCTCTACCAGTAACACACTCGTTGATTGATGTAGCTGTATAGGAAATCTTAATATCCAGTAATTTTATCTACAAAAATCATGGCTCGGAGTTTGATAAGAATTGTGTTAAACCTAATAGATCATTTTTGGGAGAACTGACCTATATGTTGAGTCTGTTAATCTGTGATTATGATCTATGTCTCTCCATTGATTGTCATCTTCAATTTCTTTCATCAGTGTTTTTTTAGTTTTCAGCACACAAATTCTGTATGTGTTTAATTAGATATTTGTCTATTTCAACTTTTTGAGCAATTGTAAGTGGAATTATACTTTTAACTTCTGTTCCTTGTTAGCCTGTAAACATGTGATTGAGTTTGGAATTCCCTGTGGTCCAGTAGTTAAAACTCTATACTGTTTCACTGCTGGGGGCTCGGCAGGTTTGACCCCCGGTTGGGGAACTACAAAATCTCACAAGCCACCTGGTGCTGCCAAAAAAAAATGTGTATGATTTTTATGTGTTGATTTTTAGCCCGTCACTTTGCTGACTCACTCATTAGTTCTAAGAGTTTTTAACATTATAGATTCTTTGGGATTTTCTACAAAGACTATCATGTCATCTGCATATGGGTAGGTTTTACTTCTTCTTTTCTGATGAGTATGCCTTTTATCCCGTGTTCCAGCCACCTTCCTGTGTACGCTGAGGTGCAGGAGCCCTGCGTGTACCTGCGGAGCAGCCAGGTGGAGGTCACCAACCTCTACCTGGGCGTGCCCACCAAGATGCCCATTACACTCGTCAATGGCACGCTCCTGCCCACCCGCTTCCACTGGGGCAAGGTACGTGAACCCACTCCATCGGGCCCCACCCTTGCAGCTCTCAACCCCAGAGGCCCATGTTGAGGGGCACCCTGCCCCCCAGACACCACCCAGAACAGATCACTGCCCCCGGGGGCCGCCTCTGTAGACTGTCCTGGGTACCAGGGGAGATGAGGACAGGTCTGCATGCATCAAAGCCAGCTACTCACTGTTCCCCATCACCCTGGGCCTCCCAGGGCAGCCTTTTGTTAAGTCCAGGGAACCCCCTGACAGGTGTGAGGTCCATCTAGCATGGGCAAGGAGAGGAGAAGGGACCTGTGGTTTATCCCCACCTGGGAACACTGTTCCCTGCTGGTCTCACTGAGGGCCCCCAGTCAGCCAGCCTCCCCAAAGCATGCAGCAGTCCTGATCCCTCTGTCAGGACCCAGGTCCATCCTGGAAGCCCAGCCCCTGACCTGCCTGTGTGTCTGCCAGCTCCTGGGGCTCCAAGCAGATGTCTGCACAGTGAAAGTCTCCCCGAGACATGGCACGCTGGGCCCCAGCGAGGAGCGCCAGCTCAGCCTGGAATTGACTGCGCATACCCTGGTGAGTGTGGAGCCAGGGGCTGCATTGCCCCGGGAGGCCCCGGCTGTCTGCATCCTTGCCAGCCGGGAGATCTGCCTCAGACCCCTGTCCTGGGCCGAAGCGAGGAACAGATTTCTTGAACTGGGGTCTGGGGTTCCATTCCTGCTGGGCCTGCTCTCTAGGAACACGGGGTCAGGAAGGCTGGAGCAGGCTGGTATAGGCCCCGAAACTCTTGAGCATCACCCTTAGCGCTCGCCAGGCATCCTCTGTGGCACAGGCGGGCCCACCTTTCCACCTGCCCAGAGATGCCCCTGTGCTGGGTGCCCCCAGGGAGTCTGAGCAGTGCCCCAGTTCCTCAGAAGAAGGACACAGCTTCTCCTGGGTTCAGCCCACAGGAAGGCCATCGGGCGGAACGTGCTCAGTCCTTGGGGCGGGTTACCAGCTATCAGTTTGCAGTTCTTGTGGAGAAAGCAGCTTCTTCCTCACAGGGACTCACAGACCCAGGTCCCCGTACCTCTCTGGGGAGCATGGGGACGTGGGGCTTTCTTCCACAGCTGAGCCTGATCTCGAGGGTCACAGATGAGTAGGCCCCGGCCTGGCCCAGAGCAGACCTCACGCAGGAAGGGTTTGACTTCTGTGATAGCAGCTTCATCTTCTCCCAAGATCTGCTTGGCGGGGGTCTCCTTCAGGCGGGCACGCCCAGATATCAGGAGCCGAGTCACAGCCAGAAGCTCTGAGGAAGGGGCCAGGCCTCCTGAGGGTCTGGGGATGGTGGCCCATCGGAGGGGCTGGGAGCCCTTCCGCAGAGATGAGCCTGGACAAGGCCTTTGGGTTGAACTGTGCCACAGGAGGCCGCCTGAGGCCCCTCTGCCACGGCCCACCCGGGGTCTTACCTGCAGTGACACGCCCCCGGTGACCTTCCCTGCAGGAAGCGGTGACCGCCCTGGCCCTCCCTTGTGATGTGGCAGGCATGAGGGAGCCATTGGTTCTGGGCATCTCAGGGAAGCCCCGGGGACTGCAGGTGGCCATCGGCGTCTCTAAGGAGGAGAGTGACGACAGGTGAGCCCAGGGCCGGGCCTGCGGGCTGGGGCGGCCGTTCAGAGGGGCGGCCTCACTGTGGAACCAGCCTCTTCCAGTTGATTCCCACAGCCAGGAGAAGGCCCCTCACGAACTCTGTGGGGAGAGATCCCCGACGCCCCATCCCTGCCCTCCGGGTGGTCGTTCTCCACACGCCAGGGGCCGGTGTCCATGGTGCGGGGGAACAGCGGGGGATGGGCTGTGGGCAGCTGGGCGACACGCGGCCTGCTCCTGGCCTGGGAGAGCCTCCTGTCTTGGCAAGGAGGGTGCATCTGTGGGGTGGCGCTTTTAGGAGGGCTTAGAGCCTGGTTTCTGGGCAGGTGGGCACCTCCAGCCTGAAGTGGCTGGCCGGGCAGGGCTGAGGGTGGCACATAACTGGTGCCCGCGCGCTTGGGCAGTGCTCCCAGCACAGAGCTGTGGCCGGGCCACCCCGAGACGCTCCTCCTGGACTTCGGCTCGGCAGTGCGCCTGCGGACCCGCGTGAACCGCCAGCTCTTCCTGACCAACTGCTCCCCGATCCAGACCCCTTTCACCCTCGAGTTCGAGTACTTCGGGAGCCCCGTAAACAGCCTGAGCCAGAAACCCAGCCCGTAAGTCGGGTTGTTTTCAGTGACTGTTCCCTGGGAGGTCGTAGCCGGGGTTGCCCCACTGGCCTCCGTGGGTGTGTGTCGGTGGAGGAGGGTGTCCACACGTAGATGTGGCCAAACGCAAGGAGTAGGGGGCCCTGCTTGCCTACCTCCCAGGCCTCGAGAGGAAAGCGGGGTGTGTGGCCCCTTCTGGTCAGCCTGGGCCGCCAAGGAGAGGGCTTTGGATAGACCAGGTGATCCTGGGGCCCTCGGATGAGGAAGAGGTTACTGTAGGTGGAGGCAACCGTGGGCAGAGGTGGAGTGAGGCACGTTGCAAAGCTGTAGCTTGAAATCAATCACATTGGAAGTATTTATATCCCAGAAGTTAGCTCAGCTTGCCAACACCCCACTAGCAGGAGACTGGAGACGGCCTATTGCAGAAGGCTGGGCAAAGGCCGGGAGTCTGGACTGGGTCTGCATCCCGGGGTCACCAGGGCACAGAGCCTGCGGATCAGGGGTCCCTGCCCTGGAGCACTCCTGATTTTGTTGAAACTGGCAGGCAGCCTGCTGCTGAGATGCTTCGGGTGGTAGGGTGCCGAGGGAGCAAAGACCACAGGTGGAGGTGAAGAGGACCCTGACCAGCTCTCCACGGGAGAGAAGCAGGGCCACCTTCCTCTGCTGGGAACCCAGGGGTGGAGGGGGGGTGCTGGTTGCCTGGGGAGATGGCTGAGGTCTGGGCAAGGGCCTGGATGGCTTGATGCGATTTCCATGTCCCCTCTGGTCAAGCCCCGACATGCCTCCCGCCCTGCTGAAGACGGCACGGATGCGGGAGCTCTTGGCCAAGCGCGAGCAGTGGGGTAAGAGCCCAGGCCCGGCCAGAGCAGGGTTTTGGGGGGCCTTTGAGGATGTGGGCCAGCTGCTGCAGGAAGGGGACCCTGGCCATAGAGTCACTCCTCAGTATCCTTTCTAGCCGGGTCCCTGAGATGGCCACGGCTTCCACCGAACAGCACCCCCTCTTTCGAACACGGCCACCTTCTTGCTAAGGAAGAGGGCCTGTGCACAGGGTCTGGCTTTGATTTGGGATGGGTGGTGGCTGGTGGCTTAGGAGTGAGGGCCCCCACTTGGCCTCACGGCAGGTGAGAGAGGCCGGACCCTGGACCCCAGGCTTGCAGGAGGAGGGTCTCTTTCGGCGGACCAGGGAGAGACTGCAGGGAGGCTTGTCTGGTTCACTGCTTTGCTGACACTTGAGGGTTGGGACCTCCTTCCTGCCCAGGGCTGGGGGGCTGCATCCCCATTCCTGGGTCTCATTGCAGAGCTTATGGAAAGCATGCTGTCCCATGGGAAAGGAGCAGCCTTCTTCCCCCACGTCTCCCAGGGCATGCTGGGCGCCCACCAGAAGCTCAGCATCGACCTCACTGCCTGTGCCAACATGTGGGGGGAGTACTGGGATAACCTCATCTGCACGGTAAGCGCGGGCGGGTGGCCTGGGGCACAGGGACCCCCACCCTGGCCCCCACCTGCAGGCTTGCTCTCCTCCAACACCCAGCCCTCAGCCTCACAGGTCTCACCAAGTAGAAAGGTGATGCCCGCTGAGCTTGGGATGGGCCTTTGCGTTGGCCAGCAGCCCTGGGATTCCTGCAGGAGGGGTCCCGTGAGCAGAAGCACCCACATCTTTGTCCATGAGGTCCACCTGAGGCTGGGACCACACTTAGGAGGGCTGAGGAGTCAGATGGGCTGCCTGCCCTGGCCAGAGTCTGAGATCCAGAGTGGGCAGTAAGTGTAGAGGGACAGCATGGCCTCCCAGAGCCACAGCCTCACCCAGGCCTTGGTGAGGCCATCGTTCATTCCCTGTCAGCCCATTCATTGACTCCGTCACTCAGCATGAACTGAGACTTTATATGTACAGGGTCCTGTGTGGTCCCCTGGACTGTGGGGGTACAGGGATGAATAAGAGAGCAGACCACGCCAGTAGGGAGCTCCTAGTGTAGGATGAAGGGGTGAAATGTGTTCCAAGTCCTATGTCATTTAATTATCTCACAGATTTTCTTGAACTATTTAGTAAATTGGACAGGTGGGTTATGGTAGTTATCTGCTTTAAATTGTGCTCTATCCAATGACAAAGTGTTGATCACCTTAATATACAAAGAGTTCTTAACTAACAATAAGAGCGGTGGCACAAGCATCTCAAGCGGCAAAGGGTCATAATAGGCAGTTCAAGAATGACAGCTAGAGATGGCCAGTGAACATGAAAAGTGTTTCATCAGCACTGCTAACTACAGAAGTAAGGGGAAGACCGTGGTGGTCCAGTGGTTAGAACTCCGCATTTCCATGGCAGGGGGCCCGAGTTCAGTCCCCGGTCTGGGAACTAAGATCCACAAGCTGCAAAACATGGCCACGAAAAAAGAAGTGAGAATGAAAGGCACCTTGAAATACTGGTTTTGTGAGATGAGCAAGGTTTAAAACTGTTGATGGAGGTGCAGGGAAGGGGGCTGCTGGGAAATGTGTGCCGCCCTTCAGAGGCACTTGTGCAGGGCGCTGGGGATACACATTTAAAGTTGCCCCAAGGAAAGAAGTGGCTGCATGAACAGACAAGTTTCATACCAGGCTTATTTTTCTTCTCAGCACTGTTTATAATGGGGGGGGGGCGGGGGGGCGGGAGGAGACAGTGTAGACATGTGTCCACCAGAAGATTGGATAAAACGTGAGGCTATATCCATACACTGGGATTCCCACAGCTAGTTAAACAATGCTGTAAACCTTCTTTAGTAAAATTATCATATGTGGTTAAAAGAAAAAAAGATTACCAAAACGAAAGCATGCCCAGAATGCCCCTCATGTATATCTGTGTTTTATGCACACAAGTCTGTCTAGACAGTTCTAACTGAAATACTAACAGTGAATCATGCTGTGGGGTGGCATAGGATGATGGGTGAATATATAGTCTTATGTTAAATTTTAAAAAATAAGTGATTTTGATTAGCGGGGAAGATAATCATCATTTCCATTTAAAAGATGAAGAAATTTCATCCAAAGGGCCACAAGAGGCCAAAGACCATCAGGCTGGGAGACGACTGGTCACACGTGGAGACCCTGGGCTGACTGGAGGAGAGGATGGGCACCTCAGGGATGCGGTGGCAGCTGGGGACGAGAGGGACCGAGGATTGATGTGTGTTTGTAGGTGGGAGACCTGCCCCCAGCAGTCATCCCGGTGCATATGGTGGTGGTGGGCTGCCCCATCAGCTCCCAGAGGACCACCTACTACACCACTGACCAGGTCCAGAGGGAGCCTGTCATCAGGTACCGCTCCTTCCCACCTCCCCTCCTCTAACCCCTGGAACCCTTTGGCCTCCATCCCAGGCTGTCCACACCGACTCTTTGCTGTCTAGCTGGCCCAGGGCCACCTGGTGTCACCCAGCACGAAAGCCCCAGGCCAGGGCTACCCAGGAGAGAGGCCTCGGGGCCATGGCCATGATCTGCACATCTCAGAGGGCTCTGGGGGGACAGGAGTGAGCAGTCGGTGTGGCCCGAGGTCAGGGCCACGCTCGGGGCCCCTCACTGGGGTTTCTGTGGTTGGTCAGGGCGGTTGGGGAGGGGGGTGACTAGGCTGCTGAGCAGCCCTGGGTCACGGTTCACTGGGGGGTCGTGTTGGGGCGGGCCCCCAGCCCTGGGGCTCTGTGACTCCGGGGTGAAGACAGCCCACTGTGGGCCTCCTCCCTGCCCTCCTCTCTGAGGTGAATCTGCCTGCGAGGCATGCGCTGATCCCGGTCCCCCACCTCCAGGTTTGGCACCCAGGTCTCCGGAGGAGACCCAGTCACCCGGATCCTTCGCCTGAATAATTCCAGCCCCTGTGGTGAGATGCTCATGAGAGAAATTGGGGCTCTTGGTACAGGCTTGTGCCAGGTGGGGGGCCAGGATGGGAGGGCAGCTGATGGCCCACAGCCTGGACCCTGGAGCCCAGGGGGCCTGGGGTACGGGGAGAGGACCTCAGGGGCTAAGGCGCGGAGTGGCCAAGCCGATCAGGGGTCGTCAGAGCCACTTCCACCTTGAGGCCAGGACTTGCCCTTGCCTGTAGGACCTGGTGTCTCCCGCTGTGCCCGGGCCAGACGCCCGCCCTGGTCACATTCACTTGGCGTTGGACAGAACTTTCAGGGGACGCCTTTTCCTTTCAGCCGGCAGCCCCTATGCTGCCTGCAGGGAGCTAAAGGGTGGAGGGAGAGAAGGCAGGGGCTGCCCGCGTGGGAGGACCTGGGAGGTCAGCAGATAAGCCAGAAGGAAAAGCGGCTGTGGGGGGAGAGCATGGGGAGGCCTGGGTTTGTGACTTGGACACGAAAGCTGGGCTGTGATCCAGAGGACAAGGGGCAATGGAGCTGATGGCATGAGCCTATAGGCTTAACACAAGAATTGCCTGGACGTGACACTGGGAAATGAGGCCCCCACCAGCCTCAGTCTGACAGAACTGGTGGCCTCTGGGGCCTGCAGGGAGTGGGGCACAGGCAGGAGTTGTCTGCTTTTCCTTACTCCTCGCCCCTCTCCCCTGCATCTGCCCCAGACATCCGCCTGGACTGGGAGACCTACACCCCAGAGGACAGGGAGGACCGGCTACTGGAGCTGCTGGTGTTCTACGGGCCGCCCTTCCCCCTGCGCGACCACGCTGGGAACGACCTCCTGTACCCCGAGACCCCGGAGAGCAGCGGCTCCTCCTGGTCCCCAAGTCCCTCCGAGTCTGAGTCCAGCCACGGAGCCACCCCGTCTGTGAGCAGGGGTGGCGGGTGGGCTGCTGGGCCGGGTCAGCGGGTCTCAACCCCACGCTGAGCCTCGGCCACTCCCTTGACCACAGGCCGAGGGCAGCTCCAGTGCCAGCGCCCCCCAGATTATCTCGGTCATCCTGCAAGGGCACGAGGGGGCGCCCTCTGACCACCTGTTCGCCATCAGCCCCAAGCAGGTGGTGAGTGGGGTGGGGCTGGGAGCTTCAGGGAACATCCCCCTGACCAAGGCTGGGGTGGTGGGGTGGGGGGGGGTGTCCAGCACTGAGGCTGCTGTCTGCCAGGTGGTCCCTGCGGGAGGCAGCGGCACCATCCACGTCTCCTTCACACCCGTGGTGCTGGGCCCCGACATCCTGCACAAGGTGGAGTGTGTCGGCTATGCCCTGGGCTTCTTGAGCTTGGACGATGAGGTGAGCGATCTGGGCCTGGGGAGGGCTTCCCCCCACCGCACCTCTCAGGACTCCAGTGATGGGGCCTGGGCTCGGTAGGTGGAGAGGGAGCTTCCAGGCCGGAGGCGCCGCCTGCAGGACTTTGCCGTGGGACCCATGAGGCTGGACCTGCATGGCTACGTCAGGCCCGCGCAGTGAGTCGGCAGGGCTGCCTGGCCTGCCTCCTGCCCCTGCTGGGGACCAGCCTGGGCCTTGGGAACAAGAGGATGGGTGTGGGAGGGAGGGGCGGGCCAGGGGCAGGTGAGGCCCGGAGGCCCATCCCGGGCTGTCGCTGGCAGGCTGAGTGTGGAGTGGGACTACGATGGCACCATGGTGTTCTGGCAGCAGGCCAGCGACCTCATCCCGGAGCAGCCCTGCGCCGGGGTGAGTGTGCAGCCGCCCTGCCCTCCCACATCACCCGGGTGCCCCCCACCAGCCTTCCAGGGGCAGAGCCTCGTGGTCTGAGTCCCCCCTTCCTGCGGTTGCCAGGTGCTGAGCGAGCTGGTGACCACCCACCACCTGAAGCTGACCAACGCCACAGAAATCCCTCACTACTTCCGGCTCCTGGTCTCCAAGCCCTTCTCCGTTTCTCAAGAGGGGGCGAGCCGCCCCCGGGCCCGGGCCCCTGGCTGGAAGCAGGAGGGTGAGGAGGAGAAGGCAGCGCGGGGCAGGCAGCTGGTGCTCCACCCACAGGAAAACATGCTGGTCAGTGGCAGCATCTGCGGTCCCTGCCCCGGGGGGGGGCACCCTGCTCTCACGTTCCTGCATGTGTATGTACAGACAGCACAGCCACGCAGCGCCCGCCCAGGGCTGCACTCAGACACAGACATCAGCAGTATGCAGGCCTGCCATGCCCCACACTCGGGCCAGCTCCCAAGACAGACAGGCAGGCAGAAACCATCCAGTGTGCGCACACACCCCCACCGTCCCCCACACACACCCACCGTCCCCCCACACCCCCACCGTCCC